ATCAGCATGGATGTGAAAGGGAAACGATGGGGAATGATGGATTTCATCTCGATAACGTAAATAGACTACCCTTAGTGTGAAATTGAGTTTTATATGTTACCAAATTCAAAGTTGGAGATACTGACAAAGAGTGTCGGTGTGTCTGCGGCATGATCGCGATAGTCATATTTAAATTGCCACTAATTATGATTATTTATTTTTATCCCTCACTACATAATGAATCTAAAAGGTGACCTCCACTCACAAAACGCCTTACATAATCATAATAATCCACGACAAGTCCTAAATGCACATCTATATTTCAACAATAGTCAAACATATTCCACCTGTTACCCCCCACGGCAACAAGTTCCCGTTAAATTACGAAATTCCGGAAACTCGCAGCCAGCTGGTCTGAAAGGAAACGTGGATCCTGCACTAGGGCTGGAACAGTCAGCGTCCGATGGTGCCCCGGACATTCTGAAATACCCGGAAACGGGGCAGCAGGCTCTCTAGCTAAGGCAGCATGTCTACTGTTGTGACACGCTAGTTGTGGCAAGCAAGAAGTCAAGATTTATAAGGTAATAAAGCAAAAGGACAAAGCTCTGCCTACAAGTTACATATATTATGAGATTGGAATTAAGCGAGTATTAATAAGGATGTCGTCAGTGCTTCCAAAACGCCAGACTGCCGTGGGTATCTTAATCCAACTCCATACCTGCTTACCACAACCCGAGCTACTTAACATCTAATTCTGTCTGATTATAATTCTGTATTATATCTAGTGACTTATTTTCGTAATATTTCCTTAAATAGAATAGTGCTGGGAATAAGAAATTGGCTCCCCAATGTAATTATTAGTTGTTACTTAGGAGGGATGGAGTTAGAGAGAGAAATTGATTGATACTGATATTGTTATAACATGCTTGTCACGAAACCCGCCCACTTGAAGTATTCCGACAAATTCCTACATCGTCTCTCCCTCTGTCCATAGCAAGGGCAAAAAGAAAGGTGGCCCAACTCTACAAGGCCTCCAGCGACGCCTTCTGGGAACGGGATGCTCCGGCTAGATAGACAGAACTCGGTGTCATGATTGCGCTTTTCACATCAGTAGTAAATCGTCATTCACGTAGTGTAGCATGCAGAGTCAGGGAAATGGAAACAGGTTAGTGATAAATTAGATATCACAAATTACTAAACTCACCCGTAGATCACTCCTAAAAGAGTCTAGCTACAGCGCTATCTGAACGTATGTTGTAAATTCTAAGAGCAATGTGCGGCCTTACAAATGGGAGGTAGCAATTAACATGAATATCATGTGGCTTTCATTAGTATATAGGAATTATTGGAACCCAGGTTCCGAACTTATTCTGCCTCCCGTCATCAATTTCTGACACTTTTAACAACTCACAACCTTCATTAACAACATGTCTCAGCTCAGTGATCTTCTCGCTTATCATTCGGGGAACTCCATCGAGGCTATCCTCCAGTCTTTCCGACATACCTTCACAAAAAAATCCTATAAACGCGGTAATAATTCCATCGCTACCTATGAAGAATTAAACTTACATTATAGCTGTTTCTGACTTTTACTCTGATCTGGGATATTATGTGTATCAACAAAGAAGTAATAACAACATGTATCAACTTAACATGTCTTTCAGTAAGACCTCAATCAAAATCATTGAAGGAAAAATCAACATTGTACATTTCGCAGATCTTAGTTCCGCCATTCTCCATCAAAAGGATGAGCGACATATCTTAGAATTATCCATCGCTTCACTTGAAAAGATAGTTATTAGTCCAACATCATTGGCCCCATCGAAAAGTAAAACATCATTTAGAAAAGATCACTCAGAAGTAGAAGGTTTTGACTTGACGGCCTTGAAACTGGAAAATGTCATGAGAGTTGAACTAGATGACAACGTATTCTACAAAATCGCATCCTTTTGGGAAGTATTTTTCGAGGATAAGAGTTGGTCCAAACAGACTTCTCGCATATGGGAAAGCTATCAGAAGTATGAGAATGCCGAGAAGAAGGAGAGATTATTAAAACTTCAGAAATTGAAATTGCCGGAAGAGATTCGTCAACAGGAAAACCTGCATAAAGCAAAAAGTGAGAAGATACTGGAAATAAACATGCCAGAAAGTGAGGTATGGGACTGGCTCCATTTTTTTAGGCAAACATTTTTAGATCAGCTCAAAGGCCCGTCACCAAAACGGTCGACAAAATATCCACTATTCATTGAAAAGCCTTTCTCCCAGTTGCGTGGACAGTATTGTCGTACGGAACGAACGGGATGCGCGCTGAAATCTAAGGGCAAAACCCAACTTGATTTTCTGGTCAAAAGTATCGACTTGCCTAATGACGGTTCTGCTGATTGGGAGAATATAAATGTGCTCGGAGAGTTTACCCAATCACCTAGCGACGACCTTAGGAAAAAAAAGTTTATTCAATTGTCAAGGTCTGTTCGAGAGGTCTTCTGCGCTCAGCCGTTGCGTCGGTTTCTGCATGGTTTCTGCATGTTCGGAGGCGAATTTGAGCTCTGGCTTTTTGATCGATCGGGTGCCTACAGCACAGGACCAAAAAAGATTGTTGATGACAAGGAGATGTTCGTTCGAGCAATAAGCTCGTATCTTCTGATGAGCAGTGAAGAACTCGGCTGCGACATGTCTATCCTACAGAATGGAGAAGATAGATTTGTCCAGTTTCCCAAAATTGGAGATGTTCAAGGTCCATTTTTCGAGATCAAACCTGAACCTACAGTGCAACCAACGAGGCTAATAACTCGAGGTACAACCTGCTTTGAAACGAAGGATGAGATGACGATGATCAAGTACTCGTGGGCGAGTTCGAAAGAAAACACCGAGATTGAATTCCTGAACATTGCTAAGACTGTGCGAGGTGTCGTAAACATTATTGCTTCCGAAGTGATATATGACACCAAATCTCACATGGATAGCCTAGATATTTCCATTTCTCTGCCTTGGGATTTAAGAGCTGACGACAAGTATATCTCCGAGGGCCATAACAAAAGTGAGAAACCAACTCTCTCCTATGAGAGAAACCGCCGACTTGTTAGAATAGCCATGACACCACGTGGCCGACCACTCTATTCCAGTGGGACGATTCTTGATTTTGTTGCGGGCATTCGAGATGCCATCATGGGTCATGAGGGACTGGTGGGTAAAGAGATCCTCCATGGAGATATCTCTGAAGGGAATATAATTTTGTTGAAGCCATCTCCAGCCAATGACTTACATGGTATGTTGATTGATCTCGATCACTCGGTTAGGATGAAAGGAAATTTGGCCTTGGAAGAGAGACAGTCCTTGACGGGCACCATAAAATTCATGGCGCTTGAGAGGTTGGAGCACGCTCGTGACACAGGAAAGTCTATCAGACGAACTTGTCGTCATGACCTGGAGTCATTTTTCTATGTGTTCATCGTTGGATGCATAGAATATGAAGACGTACCTGCAGACAAGGCCAAAAATTTAGATCGTTGGTGCACGAATGAGGTGGAAAACAACTTCATAAACAAAAGCTATGGTGTCGTACATTTTGACAAAGAAATCCTTAAGAAATTCACGACCTGTTTCAAAGGGTTAAAGGATTTAGCGAAGATGCTTCGGATAATATTGTTTAATGATGACGGAGAATATATTGAGACACCACAAGACTGTGGACCTCTGTACAGAAAAATCATCAAGGCATTTAACGAAACTATAGAAGATATCAAAGGTAAGATATAATCTTTACTAAATGATAGATACATTCTTTCGACTAGAAATTCACTGACAAATAATTCACATTTTAGTTGGGAGAATCGAGAATAAAATTTTCCAAGCACGTCGAAAATAAAGCGTGATAATAGATATTCTCTGGCGAAAAGGGATTCAGAAACTGCCCGATATGTTGAAATAGGATCATTTGGTTCTAGATTGGACGGTAAGATTAGTAATTATTTGTTTATGAATTGGGCATCAATGCCTTACACGTTGGCTAGAATTTAATCATGAACACGAAGATGAAATTTAAAATTTACTGAGCTTGCGTAGTTTATAGGAAAGATTGCTGACGTCATGCGAGATAGACTGGCTTCGGCCGGTCATAGGCGAAGTATGGGCCCATTCGATTTTCTTCTAAAAATCCTTGACAGTTTCTAACAATTGGGGCTATTAAGTAGGCTACGTTTTAGAAACTTGAATGACCTCGAAACGTGTATTTACTTCCACTTCGGTAGTTTATTGAATGAACGCGCTTTACAGCTTCAATGATCGAGGGGTCATTGATTCCTTAATTGTTGGATATCCAAACTCAGTATGTGCAAAGGTTTAGATTTCTAGTTATGATCGTCAAGATCAATGAGATTTATTCGATTGCATACGATTAAGCTCAGCTGGGCGATATGAGGTTCAGTGGGATCCGAAATGCCGTGGTCAGGAGTTGCTACCTTGCGATAATTGAGTAGCTAGTTGTTGCCAGATCACTGAGATTTCGTGATTACTAAAGCCTCGGGAATCTATAATTAAGGATAAACTTGTTTTTACATATGAAACTAAGTTAACCTAACATTATATAATATTACAATACGTTGAGAAGAGAGTTCAAAATTACATACAACTATCAATAAAATCTTGTCCGATATTGTACACTTTTTCTTCGCGATATTTCCTCCTAGGAATCCTTGACAATTTCTGACATTAATAGATACAAGAATATCACTTATGCCATTTCTTCTCATCAAATTCGTCAGTAAATACATGCTGGTATTCGTCGCGGTCATATGTCACAGACTACGGCGCACGCTTTCGCTCCATTAAATGTAAAGATAGTGGTTAAATGTATAATGAAATAGAAATGACAATACCACCCTAAACCCGAATCCCGAAATCCTCCCAATCAAAATTGAATTAAAAGACTTCCATAACTTCCCAAATAGCCTGAGCTACGACGTGTTCCACTGTCACCCCACAAAAGAATAAATATGAATCATAAATATTTATATCAAAGACACTTACGACACGTTAGCCGCGCTAACAATTGCATCTAATGCCGAGCTTTGTGATTGCACGGTCGCTTCACTACTTGGCCCACTCCAAACTAGTCCAAATCGCCCGTTTGCATTGTCTCTAGTCCAGATAGAGTCTACATCGGTCTGAATAAACCTTTTGCAGAGTGCGGCCATGGCCAGTGGGAGGTCAGAATCATGACTGTAGAGGAACTGAACGTTGCGGACAAATATGCCCTTGAACTGTTCTTCATCACTATTACAGGCATTCGGCTCACATGGCTCATGGAGAATACCTTCCGAGTCGGTCAAAGCGGATGTTGATGCCTCCGCTAGCGTGTGAGCAAGGTTAGCATACTGACGGTCTTGCGTAGCCCGCGTCAACTCGAGAAGACCTGACAATATGGTTCCCTGGTTGTAGGAGTTTACAAAGTCTCCATTATTATAGCATGTGCCCAGGCTGAGACCATCGTTTATGAGGTTATTGTTGAAATTATGGAGTACAGAGATAAGTTAGGTGATGGTTAATGAAAGTAATTGATGAAGGGTTTTTTTTTTTTTTTTATATTAAAGTCCTAAGCTAAAGCTCTAGGTCCACTACAGGTACAAGACTGGTGGAGCCGGCGGGGATCACTGCTTACAGGCCCAACTCATTCCAACCGCTGGACTTGCTACAGAAATAGTAGGAAGTAAATTACGACGCGGACACCACCTACTCCAACTCCTAGATCAAAAATCAATCCTTTTCCCTAAATCCAAATAGCTACAATCTTTCCTCAGAGAAATGACACTTCTCGCCTCGTTCCCTTTCTTGTCATGTGTTGTAGCAATGACTAGTTAATCTGATCCCCGCTGAGAGCAGTGGATGAGTGAGCAGGTCGTCTATCAAAACAGCCGGTTTCCTGCGCAAATATTTTGAAGCTTTCGTGGCACTTGGGCCCGAGAAGCTTTTTGACAAAGTCAGCGTGGGACATTGACTTTCTGAGCCTACGCGTGTGTTGTGCGTGGCGGCTACAGTGGATGAAGTGGGTTGGAGTAGTTTCCTTCCCGCAAGAGCACTCCATAGGAGCGTGTAGGTTATTAAAACGGCGATTGTATGCCGCAAAATTGCCGTGACCCGTTCGGGCTGCAATTAATTCTCGGAGCAGGTGCCTAGAGAGAGCTAGTTCGGGTGGTTTGCGTCGCCGAACCTGTAGGTTGAGTTGGCGGTATTTAGGCGGACAGGCCTCTTACCACCAGTCTTCCAGCAATTTTTGTTGCCGGTGATTCATGTGACCACGAAGATATGCCAGAGTACATGATCCTGGTGGTGTCTCCTGGCTAGGTAACTCTCGGAGTGCGGCACGGGCAATGGTGTCTGCCTCTTCGTTCCCTTGTATCCCTGCGTGCCCTGGCACCCATTTCACTAATATTTTTGCCTTATTGGATGACGCACGGAATTTGCGTACATCTTCAAGGCTAGTTGAGGATGAGCCCGTCGTTAGTGCGCTTACAGCCTGCTGGCTGTCTAGAAACAAGTGGATTTGCTGCGACCCTCCTACTTTCCTAGACTTTCCGTTATCCATGAACTCCAGTGCGGCTTCTAGAGCCTTCCTTGCTCCTATTATCTCTGCATCCAGCACCTCTCCCCCGTGCTTGATGCCACTTCCTTTGCCTATGTCTTTCCCATCCTTTTTCAGAACGAAACCCCAGGCAGAGCGTCCGTGTCCTTCCGATGAACCATCTGAGTATGCGCAGATGTCCGTTCCTGTCACGTTATTGATCCATCCAACGCAGTCGTTGCGTTCCGTCAGCCTTGAGCCTAACTTTTTAGGGTAGACTACCGGCGCCAGGGTCTCGGGAGCCTCTGCTTCCGGGAGCTCTCGATAAGCACGCTGTAACCGTGACATTTGGATCTCTGTTCTGGCAGAGAGTTTGGCGGTCTTTTTGTACTTTCGAGTGCCGACATTCGGGCACACGGAAGCGCGGATCCTCAACGGGTGTCTATCATCAAGGGTCTTAAGCCTTGCCGAAAGTCGGAGTCGGTTTCCCTCAAGTATGACCTTTGCCGACGGGATTCCTCCTTCTCTGTGAACGGCTACGTTTGGCGTTGTCCTCATCACTGGCAGTGCAGCCCGCAATCCCACCAGTTTAGCTTTGTCAATCATGCTGCAGAGGTTTGAGGTAGATGACGTGACCATTCCTCGTGTGGTTGGGCGTTTGGATCCTGGCCACCAGACATCAGATCCAAAAGTTGCTAGAGAGACAATGCACATGTCTACTGCGCCGACTAACGGCCCGGGGGCTGCTCCCCGAGAGGTAGAGTTGAAGCGGCGCATATGCTGTGCAGCTTTCATCGCTTTGCCGCACCAGGTGGTTACGTGGTGTTTGAAATTGAGTCGCGGATCCAAATGTACGCCAAGCCAGCGAATGTGATCAGCGGGCTCGATGAGATTTCCATTTACGTGAACCCCAACTGCTTCTTCTCGGCGTCGTCCTGGGAATTGGATGACTTCAGACTTTTGCGTTTCGAAGGCAACAGCATTTTTCCCTGCCCACTCGAGAAGATGGTCTACCTCTCTTTGTGCAGCGCCGGCAGATTCAGCAACTGTGCGTCCAAACCCCAAAATTCCAATATCGTCGGCGTAGCTAAACCTCGATCCTGGGTTGCCTCTTTGCATCGGCTCCGCCATGTACAGAAGGAATAGTAATGGCGAAATTGGTGATTCCTGGGGGACTCCGCAGACCAGCTCTTTCTGTGTGGTGACTCCACCGGAGAAACGCACTTGTACCTTCCGATGTGTGAGGAATGAAGTCGTCCATCGGAGGATCGAGTCTGGCCATCCCTGGGCTTGCATGCGTCTAACCAAGCGATTGTGGAGCACTGCATCGAACGCTCCTTGGACGTCTAAGGTCACGAATGTCGAGGCCCATCCCTGGGAGCGTGCTTCTTCGACGTCATGGACTACGCAGGAGACCAGATCCGTTGCAGATCGCTTTGGGAGCGCGCCGAATTGTTGGTGGCCCACCACATCGTAAATAATTGCGAGGTGTGCCATTCGCTTGGCCAGGAGTCTTTCTAATCCTTTGCCTAGGCACGAGAGTAGAGCGATTGGTCTCCAACCTTTGATTGAAGTTGGATCCCGATTTGGCTTTTCCAATAGTACCACTTCTGCAAGTTTGAAGCAAGATGGATGCGTGCCGAGCCGTATGCAAGCTTTAAAGAGCTGCGTAACATACGGTCCGATTGTCTTCCAGCAGGCCTCAAGAAGTTCAACTGTGACTCCATCTGCTCCTGGGGCTGCCTTAGTACAGCCAATGGTACAAGTTCGCACCTCGTTGTCCGATATGTCGTCTTCCCAGGGTATCCGGTTATTACTGGGAGCAGTGCACGTAGGAAGATCGTCCGATGCTTGGTGACGTGTAAGAAGAGCATCACGGAGAACTGTGGCTCGCTCATACGGGTCGGTGATAACGGAACCGTTATAGTTGAGCGGCGGAGGAGGTCTGACCTGTCTATGGTTGGCCGAGCGCATCAGCTTGAATATGTCTGCCGGAGATGTCATCTCTTCGACTTGGCGTGTCTGGTGCTCCTTCTTGGCGGCTGTGATAGTCTCACGTAACTTCTTCGCACAGATAGCCCGCTGTGAGAGTGATGTTGAGGCTCGGTATTCGGCGTGTGCGGATTTGCACCTAGGAGTCCACCATGGTGCAGATTTTCCGCTTTCCTTTCTGACCCGGGTTCCAGTTGCTTTAATGGCCTCCGTGAGATGGAAGCATATCTCCTGAGCGTATGCATCCACTTTCTCTATTGTACTCAAATCTGAGGGCGGATGTACCCATTTTGCAATGGCCCGCGCGAACTTTGGCAGATTTCCCTTGAGTACCTTGATCTTTGCTGGAGCCGTGTCACTTGTAACGGTTGCTGCAGGTACGATTCCGCGGATTGGAAGATGGTCGCTGGTCATACACTCCTCCCGATCGACCCAAGCGCGGGCTCCAGATATGTTCGTCCAGGCGAGATCCAGAGTATTGCCAGCTTTATGGGTCGGCTCTCCAATTATAAGGCAAGAGAGATTGTGGTTTTCTGCCCACCTCTCTATCTCATCACCCTGTCCATACGGCCGAGTTACTCCTGGCTGCCAGGCAGCATGCACTGAGTTGAAGTCCCCGGCTGCAATGGATTTCGCAGAAGGTTTCCAGTCGAAAAGCGGGCGAGCAGCAGTCGAGTCTTTAGGGGCCTTATAAACGTTGAGAAAAGTGATTCCATTGAACTTTACCCAGCAGTTATCACCAGTAGGTGTGGAACTAGGAAATAACTGTTCCGCTAATATTACATTTTTGGACTTTCGAGTGTATGTCACAGCCCTCGGTCTGACATCTACACCTCCGTGCGGTATATGACAGATATACCCTGGGTGTGATATGGTTTCTTTTGATCTCAAATTCCATCGCGGTTCTTGAATTAGCACTACATCTACGCCTAGCTCATAAGCTCGAGAAAGCGCAATGTTGTGGGTTGTGCCACCCCTGCCTACGTTTATTGACATAAAACTTAGTGTTGAAGGGGGGCGAGAAGGGGCCCGTAGGGCGCCCTTCACAAAGCTTCTTCAGGGTTCAAGGCCCCAAAGCCCGAACCCTCAGCCATTGCTATGTCTGTCGAAGATGTGTCCTTACCAACAGCTGGAGAAGCTGGTCGGGTCGCTCTTGCGGCAGCTGTAGCAGCCTCTGCGGCCTTAGTTGCAGCTTTGGCCCTGGCGACGGCCTGATATTCCCGTTGGCCAGCTTGTCGGATCGTCACAAGTTGGTCCTTAGTGGCTGGGCCAGACCTGTTGGGACGCGCCAGGCAGTCTCGACTGCCAGATTGGTGGGGCCCTCCGCAGTTTCGGCACTTGGTTGGAGCTTTACACTCGAAGGCTGAATGCATGGTGGATCCACAGTTCCAGCAGGCGGGTGCACGAGAGCATCCGCGGGTGGCGTGGAAACCGAGACATCGCCTACACTGCTGTATGGGAGGGCGGTTTCGTTGGATTGTAGCGACTCCTGAGTCGTCGAAGAGCCTGAAGCCCGGCTTTGGGCTAGCTTCTTTTGGGAAGAGAGCCGCCCAGGATCTGTAGGGGGCCCCGAGCTTGGTTATACCGTGAATTCTTACTCGGTCTGGAGTGTAGTTAGTTACCCTGAAGATCTCTGCGGCAACCATTTCGGGAGTGACTTCGATTCGTCCTTCTAGGCCGAACACGGCGACTGGAACCGTAGCAATCCGAAGGGAAACTAGATCACTTGGTGGTTCTAGTTTTGCCTCCACTTGCGTAAAGGTGCTGGAGGCCTCCAGCAGTCGAGTTTTTGCATCCGGGTTTTTGGCACGGATGGCAAAGCCAGTGGGAACGCGTTGCACCTGGTCGACATCGGACGGGGCGCATTGCGTATGTTTAGCCACGGCTTCGCGAACGCCAGCCGGAGAGAGCTGTCTCCACTCGTGGTTTGCATCGAGACGCAGGAAGAGTCGGTCATCTTTCGATGCTGTTGTTGCTGCTGGTTTCTTCTCCGGTTTCCTCGTAGATGGAATAGCCGAAACCGAGGTGATGTTTGCAGGAGCCTGTGCTCCTGACTTTTGGTGTCCTGCTCTGGTGACAGTGGCCCAGGTGCTTCTGGGCTGAAGAGGTGCAGTAGCTTTTGTAATATTACGGGGAACGGCTACTGGGATGACGGTCGCAGGGGGAGTCGCGACATTTGGTCGTTGGGGTAGGACTGGCGGAGCGGTGTTTGGCCCGGCCGCCACGAATTGCGCGATTGCTGCCCTTAGGTAGACCTTTATGGAGTCTACAAAATTTTTGTCTTCACCGGTGGAGAGCGGTTGAAGAGCTGCCTCGACACCGCTAATAGCTGTCGAGCATATTGTGAATAGCGCGGCTTTTTTTCTTGCCCTGCGCTCCTCCGCTTCGATCGCTGCAAGCAATTCTGGAGGGTATGTATTTTTTCCGCCTGCTGCTTCTAGTGCTGGAGGCTGCGGGGCCAGTGGAGGGTTTTCGGCTCCTGCTGCCTTAGTGGATGGTATTTCAGCCCTTTTCGCGGGCCTCACTTCTGCAGGACGCGGTAGTGCTGGAACCGTGATGCGCTTCTCGGGTGCGACGACGGTTTTTCTGGGGGATCCGGTGGGATCCAAGACTTGTTCTGCGTCTTCTGGGCTGGAGGATGCCCAAACTGAATCGGCGAGGGTTTTTAACTTCTCGACTTCTGCGTCCACCATCTCTACCTCGGGGACATCGTTCTACTTCGCTTGGAGCGCAGCCGCAATAGTGTTCATGTTTTGCAGATTGGACTCGAGTCCTCGCCTTGATAGCATGTTCTTTGCGTGGTTTTGAATGGCGGTATGCCATTGATAAGGTTTGTTGGCGCGATCTTTGGTGATGCCGCTGATCGCGTTTTGGTGCGTTTTACGCGTCGGAGGCATTTTAAAATGCCGCCGATGGCAAACAATTGCGATTCGATTCCTTCGTCAGAGGGTGAGATGGATAACAGGGTGGGAATGGGCAAATTGGGGGCTTCTCGAATTGTTTGGATGAAGGGTTTGGTTGTTGAGTTTCCTATTATTTCTGTGTTGGGATACACTTTGTCGATCCTACTAGGCTCGATAATCAGTAGTCCCGACCGACTGGTGTTTGGCGAATGGAGATTGCGTATGCCCTGTGCTAGCGTTGTTTACTGCTGTTAATAGGAGATCCCGCACGGGCTACCTATTGGGGTTAAAAGGAGTCTGGTACCTGTGTTTAGTAGAGTAGTTGAATTGACATCCTTTTATCCTTCATTATTGCATAAGCTTCCCTCTACCAATAAGTCCACGAACTGAGTAGTGGGTTATACATTTCAATAGTTATGCTCGTTTATAAGTCCCGAATCTCGGAACCATAAAGCGGCCTTAGTTGCCTCATTTAAATAATAATATGGAGACGGATTTGACGGCCTTCGATTCGCCAACTTTGCAGCTGTGGTTAAATACAGCTCGTTTTCCACGGCGATGATTTCCGTATGGTATTTATCCCACCTGCATTCCAATAAGTCGATCTGACCTGCATATCTATCTTATCTTCAACTCACCAAAGTCCACCGCACGGCGTCTGTCCCCAAATAAATTTTGTATCATCGAATATCGCCGCCGCCGTATCAAGGTAGACCGGGTTTGATGTGACATCATACACCTTAATCCAGGCCAGTGCCCACCATAGCTCGTCATCGTAGTACTCGTTGATGAAGTTGGGAAAGACAGTGGGCGCCTGATGTAGGGTGTTCGGGAATACATGATCAGTTATTGATGCAATCTTGGAAGGAAAGTGCTCCTGAAAATCGGCCATCATTGTGATGATATTTGCGCTTTGCCACCAAGCATTATTCCAGAGACCATTATGATCATCATACCAAGCCTGTAACTGATTGATACCCATCATAAACTGATCCTGATAATCATTTTGACTACTACCTCGTCCAGTTAGAGATTTAGTCCACTGAGATTCTGTACTCTCTAATGGAAAGGCGGCCGAATAATAGAACCAGATGTAGGGTACATAAGTAGACAAAATTAGAGTGTGTAACATGTTTTCTTATGTTAGGTTCGTGTCCGCCCTAGAATCAATTGATATTCAATCAAGGCGACTCAGAGATCATGCTGCTTTTTTCCCATTCTAGCCGCTCTTGACTTCTTGTAGAAAATTACCTGCCGTAGAAATGACTAATAATCTTGAAAGTATTTGTGAGCTGAAAAATTGTCTGAACTGATGTTTGGGTTTGACACATGATGCGTGGGTTAACTGCGTGGTCAATTTCCGATTGCTCTTCCGAACTCAAATATGTATATTATTTGCTAGTCGTATTTTCTCCTTCGCTCTTTAATCTACTGGCATAGTGCGGACTGAACCTCCTTAATCATATCAGAGACGGCTGGGCCCGACTTGTCCGCCTATGTAGCAGCACCTTTAAGCCGAAACATAGCTCTTCCGAAGGCCTGGTCAAATTTAACAAAGGTTCGTATATGGTCTAATTGACGAATATATGTTCGAAAATGTTTCTGAGGTGACTATATGCGTGGAGATCCTTGAATAATTGTCGATCCTCTCTCCACACGGCAAGGAATAGGGAACCAACTGAAGAGGCGGTTCGTAGGTAAAGACATCATCCACATGATCAGCGTTGACCCGAAGACTGAGGGAAAGTTCAAATATTCTGTTTGGATTAGGTTGTAGTTGGCAATTCCTAACCTAATTGTGTTAGATTGTAGGCTTCTGTCTTAGGTATTCATGGTTTCGTAATTAAGGTTATTGTTAAGGTTTAGCTTCGGTTATCTCACTGATTACCGAGCCGGCAGTATATCAAGGAGGCATGTAGCTCAGGTGGAAGTATCGCACGGTAAACTATTTCTGAAGCTGCTACGTATTGTAGTAGCTAAAAGAATACTGCTATTCGGAAACTACATCTCCATCCCAGAACCATGAGATAAATCAGGCTATGCACGCTAGATATAGAATGGCTAGCGGATATGGTGAATATGGGGGTAAATACGTAGATATATAAAGACATTGTAGCCTCTGAATTTGAGGACAAGTCTTCAACCAAATTATATCGGAATTAATCCAAGCCTCTCATAAAGCAATCTCATGAATCTATTTCCGTGTCTGTGATAACAGACCAATAAACAAAGTCGACGATAAAGTTTATAAAGTCGATTATATTCTCTTGTGACGAATTCTCGTGTGTATAACTTTGATTTTGATTTTGATTTCATTTAACCCGATCATGCACCCTATGGGTCCATGCAGGTGACTATCTTCATTATTTACAAAGGGGGAAACCAATTTGGTGAAAACCCCCTGATCCTGCCTGTTTAATAGCTATCAAACTTTCCTAGTTTACCTTCAGGAAGTGCATTTTACACTGTTAAGCCAGTGTGGACTCCGTTCTCTCCCCTTCCTGATCGATTCATTTTTCCGACATTGCTGCCTCCACTTCCCCCGCAAGTCGAAACTGTTTTATCCATCCTTTGCTTAGTATCCACTGTGTGATTCGAGCGACATCCTCTGGACTGTTCATCATTGCTTCAAATGACCTGTCTTTAGCTTGTCGGAGAACATCGCCTCTTCCACTTGCCCACTGCGGACACGCCAATAGCATGTGCTTGACGTTCTGTGACGGATATCCACATTGACAGCGAGGGTTTTCTACTCCGGGTACCTTTCTTCTGTATAGGTAAGAATTGAGGCCGATATGCTCGCTTCTTAGCTGAATCGCGACACTGCTTTGGGCCCTGCTCAGGTTACGGTGGATACTTAAGGGTGTACCTCTGAAGTTAATTTTTGTACTGCCTGTTTTTTTATCGGTGAATATATTTGCGGCTTTCGCGTGTATAACTTTATTTTTTTTTTAACTGACGTCGTGCGGGCGCACAACACTAGACTGCGCTGGCCAGGTATAGGTTAGCTCAGTCTATATAGCCTATCCCCTGTTCAATGCCCCCAAAGGTGCCTAGATAATTATATATTGAAGGCCAGCAACTACTCAGCGTCTCAGTAAGTTATGAGAAATTTGAAGTAATGAATGCCTCTGCCAACCATCTAGGTGATAATCTCCTAGTCTTGAGTCATCCATTTCAACAGCTTCCAAAGCTTCAAAGGCCCATCACCTCTCCCATGTTCACTCGCAGGTTCTGATTTCTACACAGTACATTCAAAAAAAGCAACCCAAGTCTGACGACCTCCGATAATTCCCCGTCGACAACAATATTGGAAGAAAGGGTCGCAAGTCGTCTTGTGACTTTTTCCTGCATTGAATAGGTGGACTCAAAAGACTATTTGGAATATCAAGGGCAAGCTAGATTTTCAGCATAACTTAATATCGTCTTAAATATTCTTGATCATTTTCTTCAATATTTGTGAAGTCGAAAATCTCTGTAATTCAGAAGTTCCGACAAAAATCAGCCCAGCACCGATCTTTCTGACAAGAATCCTAGTCGATAAAAATTGATTAGACTATTGAAGGATAACTGAATCTTGTTACTGAAAGTCAGTTGCACTACTAGGCTCGTATAGGACACCGCTCACATGTGTTCAGTCCTTGTCCTCTGATTGGGAGCATATTAATCATAGCTACAATTTATTTTGGATTACTAGGCTCATACCTGCGCGCAGACCGTGTTTTGAGATATTACTTGTCGAATAGCTCAGCCTAGGACAAAGCTACCCGACGTGAATGTGTTATTTATTGTGCTACTCTAGTCTATGAATACCTAGCACATTGGGCTCATCTATGATTCAGTCCACACCTTGTACAGTGCTCCATGCCTCTTTTGTTACATGAAAGATCATTGATATTTTGCGCATGTTGTGTAGCAATTTAGCTCAATACTCACTCGTGGCATTCAGTCACCTTTTCCATCAAACCCTCTACCCAAAAGAATTAAAAAAATCAAAAATGGTAGCAATGGAAAACTGCGTGGGCGGGAAAATGTCCCAAAAAACCTGCAGCCCCAGCCAGGCGAGACCTAGACACCGGGATCATATGAGGTGCGCATATTCATCTATATCTCCCTTCTTTATATCATTAGATGCCGATTTGATCCAATCCGCCATCGCCGTATCGGGTGCTGGGTACGCTCCGGAAAATGATCGGATGGCTTCTCCTCCATGATCAAGGTTTGGTGATGAGTAGGGCTCCGACCCTACCATCTGATCTGATCGTGGTAAGCTTTACGATAATGGTGATAGGGTGATGTGTTGAGAGATGAAGACGATACAGACCGCGAAAGCGATTCAGAATCCTCAGCGGAGTGAGGACCTTGTTACTCAATCTCGGCTCTGTAGACTCTACAGTGAGAGCTGGAGGTTCGTAGGGGACACGACGGACAGGTGTTGAGAATAGTCCCTCCACTAGCATCTTAGAAATGATGGTTTTATTCGTTTTTTGTTTCTAGCTTTCTACGAAATAATGATGTAGGTAGCGAAGAGTCATATAGATCTGGACTACCCATGCCATGACCTCTGGGTGCTGGGTTAGTATTCGGTCACGATAAAAATATCATCAAGAGCTTCCGGAACTTTCGCTTTGAAGGAAAGAATTGGTCCAAAAAGACTCTCCGCACGTGGGGGGCTATCCGAAGTATGAAAGAGACGACATACGGAATAGATAGGAAGAATTGTAGTAGCAGAAAAGATTGCATGAACCCGAAGTAGAGAAAATCCTACAAGAAAATATGGATGAAAGAGGTGTGTGGGATCGGCTAGTGTTTTTTGGGGAACCTTTTCAACTCTGCTTTTAAAACCTTACTCAGAACCATAGGAAAACTATCTAGTAACCGTTAAATATGCGCTAGATATGAAAGCCAAAGTTGAGGTCAATTCTAGGATAAAAAGTATAGACTTGCCGAATTTCAAGCCTCATGAATGGGAGCAAATGAGAGCATTAGCAAAGTTCATCAAACCACGCCATATGAATGCACGGAAAGATAAGTTATTCCCATTGTTAAAACATGCTCGAGAGGTATTTTGATCTCAGTCCTTGTGTCGGTTTCTGCATGTTTTCTACATGTTCAGAGAAGAATTTCAACCCTAGATATTTGATAGCTCGGGCAAAAGAGGCATTGTTAAGCTGAAGGAAATGTTGGTACAAGCAATAAACTCGTATCTACCGATAAACAATAAAGAACTAGGCCCGCACGTCTTTCATTCAATTCAGTATAATTCCTTTGTATCGATTATTGGAAGCGATAGTAACCCAATTCAATCATTTTGGACCAATCCTGTGCCCTGAGTGCGACTGAAGAAACCCATCACTCGGGATTCCACATGCTACACAACAGAAGGGGAATCATCAGCGATGGATTACTCGTGGAGCAGTAAAAAGATAACACCGAAATTAAATCCCTGATGGAGGCACTCACGCTATGCGGTGCTATGAATTATATATCTTCAGAGTTGATTTGTGAGGCAAGTCAGCATCTGGGAATCCAAGGGGTTTTTGGTGGCGAGCCTTGGTGCTTCAAAGTCGACGATGAAAACTATTTTCCGAGGCTCCCATACGAGACAACCGATCCTTAGATACTCGGGGAAAATCACAAGCTTATTAGAATGGCTGAGACACCACGATACCGAATCCTTTACTCTGGTGGGCCTATACCTGATTTTGATGTCGATATTCCAGATGAAATCTTGGAACTCTAGCACCATGTTAGTAGAAGAGTTCTTCATGGTGACGACTCTACAGGCAATGTATTTTTGACGACGCCGACACCAAATGGTGACTTATGCCGGGTGTTGATTGGCATGAATTAATGCGGTGCGCTCGAAAAAAATTTTGCTGTGAAGAATAACCGGTTTCAACGGACACCATGATGTGTCTGGTGCTGGAGATATCAAATTTGCCTCCACAACGAAAACTGCCATCCGACGCACTTATCGCCATGACGTAGTACGCGTAGAATATGAACATGTTATAGAATCCCTGCCATCTGATCCAGACATATTTTGCAGGAAAGCTATCGAGACTAACTTTCTAACGAAGCAAGATTATATCGAAGAACACGATACATTAACTCTCGTCAAACTCGCGCCCAATTCTGTAGGGATTAAGGAATTAGATACGAAGCTACAAAATAAATTTCTGATACAGATGGAAAATATATGAACACCCCAAGCGACTGTGGATATCTGTTCAAAGACATTATCAAGGCATCCGATGAAACCATTGAGAAAAATACAGCTAAGATAATTCTATGACTAGATGAAATTACTGTTCCCCCCGGCTCGAGTCTTGTTGGAAAACTATCAATTTCTTGGCAGAAATAGTTATGAATGGAACTTTGATAGCACATTGAACTTTAAACTTTAAACATCATACAATCTCTTCAGGATCGGAACACATATTATCATCTCCCCGATAGGCAGAAATGGCCCAAAATGGATTCATGGACTCCATTTGGATGTGTCAGAAGACAGGTATCTGAGTTGAAGACTTTTTAGAGAAATTTAATTTATATTTTTTGACTCACATCGACTTAGATCTACAAGCGATGGATGTAGATGTTTAAATATAATATCTATTTTTGCCACAAAATCATGCACATATGTTTTTTTACGATTTAACGCTTTCTCGCCCTGGAACTCTATAGCGGGCAGTAGGTGTACGTCACATTATACCATCCAGGGGAGTATGAAGAGAGTTGCGAAAGCCGCTAGTAAAACTCAGGCAATTCTGTCTGCACATAGATGGAAATATTCTTTTGTACTACTAATTAACCACTATAAATGTTAAAACGGAGGACGAAAACTTAACACCTATCGGCGGTGTATACGACCATGGGAGTGAAGTATTCTCCCGAGCCAAATTCAGCAAAATTCACAATACCTTAGGAGCTTATCATGGCTCCTAACGTAACCCTCTACATGCATTTGAGAGTGTAATTAAGCAAAGACAATGGGGTTTAATCACCATACTAACATAGTCGTCAAGGAATAAAGACCGCCGGTGTTATGACTGACGCTAGTGTCGAGCTAGTACAACGAGACATGTAAAGTATTCTTTGTTCTTTTTAAAGATCGTACGATCTATCATTAGATTCCAGTATATTTTCCATCTATTGTCTTATTTACTAGTACATGTCTCTCCACATGTCAAAATTTTCATGGAGCATTTTAGAGGCTAGGCGCTACAGACTTGTTTGTATGTGAGGAGCTTAGCTCTTAGCTTCCTGACCTGCCTTCAACTCATATTTTTCGCCTCGGTACAATTTGGAAGCCGTCTTAGGATGTTAGAGAGTCTTTGGCATAGATGATAAACTGTAGTGTAGCCTAGCGTGACTTCTTTGCGTCTTCTTGGGTAGTGGAGAACGCTGTAGACTCGTCTGGAATGCAAGCTCTCCTGAATAATTTAATAGTCATTCTCTACTCCAAAAACCCCGTAATGACAGCAGTAAGTTTGTAGAAGAAATCATTGACTCTCATTAGGTCTTTTACACCCTCGAAATCTCATCAAACACGTATCAATGACAAAATTCAATGCTATAAATAATAGTATTCTCCATTCAAAGTGCCTCCAAAATTTACCTCATCTACTTTCCTAATGATATCTGCCATCTGTCCTTTATTCAACGACGCTTCACTCAAGCGTGTAGAAATAAATATACTTGCAAATCTAACTTTGTTACCATGATACTTTAGGCAGGACTAGCGAGTATCATTTTTTAGGATTTTCTGTTGATACATTCATAATTCCAATATCTACCACATCCTATAGCTTATTATTTGAAAAATTTTCAACTAAACTTCAAAAGAACACGTCATATTTGCGTAGACAAAGAGTCTAGGGTATCTCTTAAAATTAGACTCCGCTGTCCTGACACAGAATTTCTAGTTTGGTTTCAGCCACTAAATAAGTTACTTTTGAAGTTCCAAGTGCTAAGTATTTCTGCCACGCGAGGAGGAGCTTTATTTAAAGTATCACTTATATTATTGACGGAAGTGTCGTCACCTCTACATCCACTCAGAGATGTGTAATTCCAGATATCTTCGAGATCAGCCCAGGATGAGCTAGTAGGTGTTGAATGATTATATATATAACTTGAGCCAGTTGTACTATTGCACTCGGTCTCAAAGGTTTCTAGAGAAAGTTGTTGCATTTTGAAGTTGGAATTTTCGCCGGGATCTGAGTTGGGAGTTGTAGCTGATCCCGAAGATGAGTCGCTGGTATGGCTTACCAACTTAACAGTCTGGCTTTGTACGTACATGTCTGCATTCTGCTCTAGTTCCTGATGCCAAAGCATTTCAAGCAACCTGTAATATTTCCCAGCTACATGATTTGGGCTAGTGTCGGCTTTTTGGAATCGATCAATGGTTGTTTTTACTATTAGTCTCACGTCGAGACGCTCCTCTTGTACTAGAGTAGCAGTAACAACTAGCTTGTAGAGGAATACAGCTGCGTATAAGACGAAAAAGTAGAGATTATTAGGCATGTATCCTAGCTCTGCAGGGTCTATAAGTTGATTGAAGGTGGATAATAATGACTTAGCAGTGTTTAGAGCTTCATGAACAGAGCGAGGGCCGAAGGCAAAGGAATTGAATTGAGTTGAGGTATGGCTTGTAATCCTTGGTGAGATTTCTTTTTGGAAGTTATGTGTGTGAAATTTAGTGGCTTGGAGGGTGAAAGCGTGAAGGTACAGGCGAAGATAATTGTGAGTCAAGAGAAGAGATATTTTGACACGCGGAGAGCCTGTAAAATTGGTATGGAATCTGCAATATATGATACAAAAGGAGGCTTACAGATCAAGTTTTCCCACTTATTACTCCAAGCCTGTATACTAAATTGAAATTCTTGAAAGTAATTGGCATAAATATCATCCGTCATTGTTTTCCAGCGTCGATCATGTGAAGGAAAGAGGATATCTTGTATTTTAGATATTATCTGAGCGATCTCTAAGTTGGCTTCAAAGATTGATGAACGATCGTCTTCTTTGGCAACATAATTTTGAAAAGCTGGAAGTTCAGAGGAGTTTAATTCAGGGATAGGAACTGGTCCACATGCCCAGTATCGCTTACCGAGCCGGACTGAAACTTGGCGGTCACAAGTATAGCAAGCTGCCCAAACTAACTGTTGCCTTTTAATAAATGATAGGTCTCCGCACTTTTCGTCCATCAGTACAGCACGGTCAAGGCCAATGTGATATGCGAGGCGGATAGCCATGCCAGTATACATCCATGCTGTCTGATCTTCTTCACTACTTTCGACCGAATATGAAACATGAGGTCTCTGCGGTACCCACTGAGAGAGTAAAATGAGAGCTTCGACTGCTTCGATAGTTACTTTAATTCCGGCTATAATCATGGATATAAGTTTTTGCAGATGATTGTAACAGACATTGTGAATTTGATCGTTCTCTCTTGATGATATGGTCAAAATTGCCGCAAAGAGATGTGGCTCATTCTTCGACATCCATGGGAGTCGTGCTGTTTCAAGATTTTCACAAGCAATGAGCGGAAAGTACGGGTGATATAGCATTTCATATCTACATTCAGATGTTAGCATATTTTCTTGCCCTTGAAATTTACAGCATACCTCTCAAAAAGCGAGTAAACAGCTTCTATACTAATCATCTCTTTTTGTACTGGCTCATAATGAAACCTATCGTTGGCTCTAAAGCGCGGCTCATCATAAAGCGAAATCGAATCTTCCGTCAGGGTACCTTGGATTTTCTCATATAAACTAGTTTTTGTTTTTTGATTGGCAGCCCAATGTAAAATTTCCAACGCGTCTGCTGGATTTTGGAGGTTAGCAGCTGCGATTCCTTCTTGAAGGCTTGGTAGCTTAGAGTTTACGATGCATTTTTTCCCATTACAAGACTGCTGACCAATAGTCAATTTTCGAGATTCGGGTGAGTTTATCTCCAATTTCTTTTGAACACCTACGTCGGAATATTGAGTTCGTTTAAATACTTTGCTCTCGAGCTGGATTGATGAGAGAGGAATCTGATTACATGATTGACTTTTACCTGGCCAGTTTCTGCGGCTGCTGTGGAGAACCTCAGGTTGTAGAGTAAGAGGGCTATGGTGTGGGCTTAAGCAAGTATTTAAGCTGCAATTTCCAGCAATATCGGACAGATTTGGAGAAAATAATCGTACCCCATCCTCGAGCTTTGGTTTCTTCCTAACTCGCCGGCCACCGCGGTGGCTTTCCCCCAAGATGCACTCTTTATTTTCTCGCTGGCATCTTCGACAGGGCTAAAAAAGTTAGCAAAACTTTGTAGTTCACAGCAAGCCCTAAAAAGTTTTATGTTGTAAATCTCATCAGACTAATCTATTACATTGGCCGCAACCTCAAGACATCAAGAGCGCTATATTATACTTGAAAAGGACTTTAGGGAGCCCTTTTTATCACCAAACTATGCTAAGCAGGGTCAATACTTTGATATTGTAAGGATATTTAAAATTTGAGGTTCTATGGATTTTGCAGAGAAAAAATTTGATTTGAATTTGTTCTAAAGTAAAATTTTGACAGTTATTTTGTGAACTCACCGGTCTTCCTTGGTTAAGGTTGAGATCACACTTGCTCTTGCGGTTCCGACAATTCAGACAGGCCCGGTAAGCTCTCATCGCGTCTAGCGGTATCGACATAGATTTGGGCATTACTGGCGTCGTCTCCCTGGCCTTTAGGAAAGCGGCGAGATGGTAGATGACGACTCAACGGTCAGTTTATCTTGTCAATTGAAAATAGCACAGATTTTCGTGATATTCAGGATTAGATTATAATCATAGTCTTGCGTAAGTAATTCGAAGTGCCGAAATTGGCGATCGCAATCGCAACTGAAGTTTGGAATATACCGAGTTATTTGAAGTTCCATTTTATGCGGCATCGCTCTTCGACGGCAACTTCCTTGAGTCGTTCAGGATCTTCCTTGAGCAACACTTGAAATTGCCAGGTCAGTATTTCAGAAGGATGAGAGCCTTCAAGAATAGATATGTTCGATACGCGTGGACAAGGATTGTAGAATGTGTTAAGAGTTAACCAGGAAGGTATCTGGCCAGCATAGACTCAAGAAAAAAAGACTAGCCATATTTTTATACAGGCAACAATCTATATTCCTTGCTAGGATGCAAGGGCCATCAGGAAAATTTGAACTGTGTGGTATGGTTTTATCGACTCGCCATAAGAACTTGGATACCTCATTGGGTAATGGGACCAGTGGTCATTCACAGTCTTAGACTCAGAAGGGACTATAATAAAAATTCTTATCTTAATGGGACTAGTGGCTACTGGGAGCAGACGAAATCAGTGCCCTAGGGGCTCGCTCGCAGGTTTTGTAAAAGCGGATATCAAAATCCATATTTAGGGTTTTATTTTAATCTTATTCCATTTACAAGCTGTGGAACTTAGAATTTAAAGCCTGTTGGATAGAATGTGCAATTGCTCCCGGTCGGTGTCACTGGATAAATAAAAAACGGGTCGGAAAGATCTGAGAGTGACTAATATCAACTGGGACTCGTGTGGTGTAGCAGCAAGAAGATTCACTTGGCAAGTTATAAATTGCCCAAGCGTATGCTATCTCTCTACTATCTACTTCTATGATATACCCTTGGTGTTTTGCTCAACTTGATGCAGTCAGTGTACTTTTTCGTGGAAGGCACAGTATGGCCAGTATAAAATTTAGTACTGAAGACTCAAGGAATTTGTGCCCCAATTAGTATGGATCTCATCTTGCCTTAAATATGGCCTCTATCCAGCAGTAGCACCCCCGGCCATTGAGCAAATACTTTCTGGGCGTCTGCAAGAGATGTATTTGTCTGAAGACGAAACAAACAATTCTATTGCTGTATCCCAGGCATATGTTCTAAATTCCAGAGCACTAGCCTCATTGGCCAAGCCATGCTAGATGCATCTTATCAAGAGTTCCACCACCCAAGTAAGCTGGTACAAACTGAAATCCGCGATCGGGGTAAAGATTCAACATTAATATCGCCAAGCTTCGAGGACCATTATCTCGGGTCTGGTGCCGTAGGCTTGGCTTACAGTTCTATTACTTATTGAACCTTGTAGTTTGGATCAGTGGTGAAATTTGCCTCGTGCTTGGCCTATTCATTTCCCTTATCCCATCTAGTCCTGTACCATAAATACTAATCAATGCTTCGGGCTTCCATCAAAATCATATTCATTATTCCCTGCGAGCATCGAGTATAGTGTTTAAACCACCAGATTTTATCTGTGGATCTTTGCCTATTACAGCTACACATAGTAGTATTCCTTTGAATGACTCATGGGGGTAAAGATCGTGGAACCTTACGAATCTACATCAACTTCTACTCCTTCTCTTGCGAAAAAAATATTTTCCACGAAATTATCGAAAAAAAATTGAGGCCCAGTGCGCCATGTGAGCTATTGCAGTGAAGGATCCGAGAATGAATGTTTTTAGGCCTTTTAAGTGTGAATATCTCAGAGCCGGGCTTATCCCGTGTGGCTACTTTGCATTAATTATAAATCAAATTATCAAACAACCGTTTTGTACAGTTTTCTTGCTTGTCGTACATCTTGTATCTACACGCCTAGATCACGTTTCGCACAGTGACTAATCAATGGATAATGGAGACATGTCTGGATAACTCAGGGTTTTTGAGACGTTCCCCTGAGTAGGTATTAACGGATGAGGATTGACTTGGGGTGAAGAAAAAGCCGCCATAACTTCGCAGTGGTACCTGCGAATGAAATCTGAGGCATGAGTGTTCCTCTTGTAAATTAAGTCATCTTTTCTGTACTTTTCTTTGATATTGTGTCATAGCTAGATAGCTGCATACGCAATTAAAATCTGATGCAAAAAACGTCTGTCCGCTAACACCCATAAATATTCGCAGTGAGCACATCTTTTTCCTTGTCTCTACGTGATTTTGAACAAAAATTTGCCCAAGCATCCCTCTTATAACCAGAGTTGATTTTCTTGGACTCATTCAGAGCCACAATGTCTCTGCACTCACTCACTCAGTGCGGTCATTTTTAATTTTTCAGTTGTAATCGAAGCAGTATCTAGAAATTACCATGGAATGGGAGTGTGATTTTACTATCACAACCAGGCCTAAATACAATGTTGTGATTAGTCAAGATCGAACAAACGAAAGGCATAGTTCTGCAGGAACCTCAATTTTGTATAGATTCATCGGGTCGTCGCACATAACGTCGAGCATTTAGCTGGATCACCTTATAATTCATACTGAGCAAATGCTGAGGTGTGAGAATTAGCATCAGTAACATAAACTATGCACTTCTATACTGAGTAATGTTACAAAGTCATGATTCTCCGAAAATTTACCGTAGCCAGTAATAATTCTGCCGATTAAGGAACTGGTTGGAATACTCATGCATTAGGCACACATTAGTCAAAAATTGTTGACCTTATGCCGAGAAGGAACAGTTTGAGTTTTATCACTATCATAATGGTTATCATGCTATTCTTCACAAACGTAGTCAAGATCGGGTCCTTGAGAGATGACGATACAACGCACATTGGCGGTGTCTCTCACGAGACTTGAGCTCTCATACAAAGTAGGCCAAACCGAAAACGAGCACTTGAATAGGCAGGTGGGCTTCTATTTTTCATGGGTCTATGAAACGTCCCGATGGCCAAGATGGCTCTCAGGTTAGCCCCGACTTGTTGACAGCGTGAATTCTCCATGTGTACGCCCAGGTTTTGTGGCAAGTCGACCAGAGTCTTCTCTACCTAGTTCTATCCATTCTCCCTTTGGTTCTCGACCAAACTTATTATATCCCGTACCACTTCGGAAACACCACATTTTGTTGTGTGACAAGGTGTGTCTGGTTGGTGTGAGACTGTCGAATGATCTAATGACTTGATGACCTTTCATGTATTATCTTGGAAATGATGACTAATTATGTTGATGAGTAATGAGTTACCTGTTTAGGAATGGTGTCAGGAGAGAGGGACAACTGCTGTATATACGTGTTTTTTTTAAGTTAGAATTGAAGAATAGAAGATACATGTTAACCACGTATTGTTATTACTGCTACAGAAAGCTTGTGATAAAAATACCACCCGAGTATCCCAACAAAGACCTAGCCGAGTTAGTTAAGGTCAAACTTAGGAGTCGCGTCGGGGGACTATTCACAACACCTGTCAGTGGTGTCCCCTACGAACCTCCAGCTCTCACTGTAGAGTCTGCAGAGCTGAATTTGACTGACACCTTCTCAACTTTGAGCTGAGTTATCTCCCCCTCCGTCAAAGATACGCTTCCGATAACACATAAGACGACAAAGACGACAATAATGATGCTGTGAATGGGGAGAGATTATGCGGTACCAAACGCTACAACGGTAGTCAGAGTAGCCCTCGTCATATTATAACATGTGCTTCCCACCGGCGGGCGAACAAAAAGCCCACGAAAGCAAGGCAAAAGACCCTTCCGCCCTCAAGAAAAGCAGATTTCGAGTCGTCTACATTATCGTCCCTACTAATCATAACTTCCGAATCTACTAGCCAGGAGACCATCTGAAATACATGAGTTACTCGACGACCCCACGTCCGTAACGACTTTTGGATGCTAGGCTAGGCTCCCTCTCGACTGTTACTCTCGATTAAGAATCTTCTGACATCCTTTCACGACTTACGATTTATCCAGCGGCATGAATCAGGGGAGGAGTAGGGAGGAGGCTAGGAAGGTTGAGAGACGCTCTTAGGTATACACAGGTCTGCTGCGCCCGGTTGGCCCGCCTCTTCGTCATAGGAGAGCCCCGCACCCAGTGGTTTTTGAGACTTTTCCCTGCAGCTGCACACCCGCAAATGGCCATCGTTTCGTTGGCTAGAGAGGGAAGATAATGACGGGATCACAGCTCCTCTTAGTGTGTACTCGAATGAAGACCTGTGGGGGTATTACTGCTGGAAAGAAGTCGTGAAGGAGGCATAAGAGGGAGTACACTACCCGAGGCATAGATACTCCCAGTCTGTAGGTAGAAAGGACCTACATGTCCTTACATAGTTATAGACTTTTTAGGACAATAAACACTCATTTAGGAGTCGCGTCAATAACGCTACTCATGCAGATCGGTCGCGTGGAGAAAGTTTGTACTTGGTAGTTTTGAGTCTATCTCACTCTTGTGAATATAACACTATCGCTTCTCATTCTATCTGACCTCCTTCAACTGTGCTAATTCTCTTGTCTTCTCTACAGTCATACAGCTATAGAAGGCGGAAAGAAAGACAGAACACCCGTACGCGGTGTCCTCTACGAACCTGGGAGTGAAATCTTCTTCCAGAGCCAAGTTCAATCAAACTTCGCAATACCAAACAAGTCGGCCCACGATGCAATGATGCAAAATACTCCACCATATCAATCTTTCACTCCCAATGAAATCGATTCCTACCTAAGCCTCATCAAGTTTACAAGTACGACCTAATACATCCTCATCCCAATGACCACACCTCTTGTCGACTGTCTCTGGCCTTAGCTGGTCGCCAGATACACGCTCACACCGATACTTACACCCGACGGAGGAAGCAAAGCGTGGCGCACAAATCTAGTAGACAGTTCCTTGGGATGGATGTGAGAGGGATCAGGACAAGTTGATAAGATGATGTAGAGGATGGATACAGTCTCGACGGGCGTGGAATTTTGAAATTTAGAAAAGA